GTATATTACAATGCACTCAGTGCCAGGTCATGTTTGTAAATGAGAAGTGGTTCTCAAACAGTTTACCTGGATAAATAAAGGTTAAATAAATAAAATAAAATAAGCCATAATAAGACAAAAAGAAAAAAAACTACATAATGTGTTACACATGGAGATTTTATTTTATTTATTTAACCTTTATTTATGCAGGTAAACTGTTTGAGAACCACTTCTCATTTACAAACATGACCTGGCACTGAGTGCATTGTAATATACAGCCTACATATTCAGCCACAGTAAAGTGATTGTAAATTTTAATCGCGATTAAAATTTCTAATCTATGCCCACGCAGCACTAAAATTAATCAGAGTTAACTCGATTAATTTCACAGCCCTAAAATAAAGCTAACACTTATGAGATTTCATTAGAAGGATCAAAGCAGCTGCTGTTGTTTCTTAGAGTGAGGATGGAACTGGAAAAAAAAGTACAAATCTAATAAAATGTGAAAACAACTAGTTGTGGTTTTAACTGTGTTTCATGATCTTTTAGCCCAGATTCTGACGTTTCTGTGGACACCAAACATGTCCGCCTTTAAATAACAGATCTTAAATTAGAAGTTAGAAGAAACGTGTGGCTCTGGAGGTTCAGTGTAACTAATCTCCTGCAGGTACAGCCAGAATATCCTGCTGTTAAGGGAGCAGGTGGACGACACCCAGAGGCAGGTAGCGTCTCTTGAAGGAGAACCCAGACAGGCGGACCCTCTGCGGGGGGAGCAGGTCCGAGAGCTGCGGGGTCAGCTGGAGACGCTCCGAGCCAAAATGCACCAGATGGAGACGTTGGAGAGATCCTTCAGTGAAACTAAGAGGCAGCTGGAGGTGGGAGGACTTTCTTCTTTATTTATTTATTTTTTGTACTTTATTTTTTAGCATAAAACCCAACTCCGCTCATGCTTTTTGTAGCTTTAGCTTTGTAGTGTTTAAAGCAAATGTTCTCCATGATTAAAGCGTGATTTTATGTGTTTAGGAGCAAAAAACGCAACAAGAAGAAGAGCTTATGAAAAGGCAGCTCAAAGAAGCCTTACAAGAGGTAAGAAGCTGAAATTAGCTGCTTAATAAACACAGCTGTAACGTGTTTGTGTAGTATAATCTAATAAAATGTGAATTTGTTTTCAACAAACAGCAGAAGAAAGTGATTGACGAGCTTGCGGTCTCTCGACAAGGCTTTGAAGAAATTCTCTCGGCCAAAAACAAAGAACTGGAAGTAACAAAGGTATATTTAAATGAATGATTTTATTTGGTCACATTAGGATTGGGCAATATTGGCAAAAGAATTAATCACGATTAATTGTGGTATTTAGCCGATAACTATTAATTTGATGATTAATCCTCTGGAGTCCCTGAACACCCTTATGTCCAAGTCACATGACCAATTTAGTGGGAAAGATTTGCTCTTTGCAAAAAATTATTCCAAATTGTGTGAAAATTGCAGTTTTCAGGATATACATCATATTTAAATTGTGTAGATAAATATATTACAGAACTTTATTTTTAATGTTCGTCAAATTTGAAGCGGAGAGGAGCACCGAGCAGACTGGTGGCATTAATCGTATTAATCATCAAGTGCCAAAAAGTAATCGATTAATGTTTTTCTGACGATTAATTGCACACGATATGATTATGCCCAACCCTAGGTCACATTCTTAAAATGTTCTTTCTTAAAACACACCCTCTTAAAAGACAAAAATGAGTATAGAACAAGACAATCTACTTTAATTACAATTATACATTACCTTTACCTAAAACTAATACATAAAAATTCTGTGTTGTATAGAGCTGTTTCCATGTGGAAAAAACACAGATTAGCAAGGATGGTTCTTTTAAAAAACAGCTGCAATTCTTCTGAAGAAAATAGTATAATATTAAGTGTTTATTAGATATATGCTTGCGTTTTTTTGTACTAATATTTGTATATTTGATTGCATTAATATATATATTTTGTTTGTTTAATGAACTAATATTTGTATAATGATTCTAATACTAAATTAATTCTGATGTTGTTGTTAATATGATGTTTTTAAATGGACCCCAGCAAGAATAGTTATTGCTGAGGTAATAACTGATGGAGATCCTTAATAAACTAAAACTAAAAACATTAAAGAACTAAAACAAACAAAATTTTAACCCGATATGACCAAATAGGTAGAGGCAGAAGCCAATGGATTTCCCAAAACAAAATACACAAAAAAACACACGTATACTTCAACTACATCCTGGTTATATGCACCGTTTTATATACACAAAATACAAATCACTAATATCATTATCAACAATATCATTATTGTCCGTACATCTAAAATAAAAAGTAATATATTACCCCAACCATCATCACAACTTACTACTATAAACCATAACTCATAATTTATTTTTAACTTCTTTTTAAAACTTAAAAGAGGCTACGTTCACACTGCAGGTCTTAATGCTC